CCTCGACCTGGCCGAGCGGGTGCGCGGGGAGCCAACGCCCGAGCCAGCTCCGCTGGCCTCGGGGCCCCGCTGGTGGCACTTGGAGCTCGACGGAGAGGAGCACCTGCACGACGGCACGGCGCGATCGAAGCAGTGCGACGTGCCCTCCGCCGAGCCTGTCAAGCCGCCCGACATGGTCCAGTTCGGGAGCAAGCCGAAGGAGCGGGAGAGCATTGCATCAGGCTCCGTGCTCTCGGCTGGCGGCTCGAACAAGGAGGAGGGCTTCGAGGAGGAGGGCTTCGAGGAGCAGGGCGTCGGCGGGCCCTTCGGTGACGCACCTGCGGGAGTGGCTTCGGTGGACCCCCCCCTTTCGGGGGGGGCACAGCCAGGAGGGTACCCCGCGAGGGCGCCCCCGGTGATGCCGCATACCGCAGATAGACGTCAGGCGGCCCGCCTGCGGCTCGCAGTGCTGCGGCGGCACGTGGCGGATAGCAGCCGAGCGAGCGTCAGCGACCGCGACCTCCGACGGCCTGGATAGCAGGCGGCAGATGCAGGCGCCGTGGATCCCTCCCCGATGTCGCCTGCTCAGCGCCGCGCTGGGCTAGCCTGGATCCGTGGTATTCTCAATGGTCATGAGGACTTTTTCGTGGATTTCATCGGCTAGGGGTCACGGCTTGACCTTGGGCTGAGAGCATTGCGGGCCCAGGCATTGTTGTGCCATTCAGTGTGCACGTTATGTGAGGTCTTCTTGGTCTCACGTACGGTATTCTGGATCATCAGGCGCTGTTGCGCCCCATTTTTCACGCGGGTGTTTCATGCTCTCTCACTCGTGTGTGCTTATGCATACACACGCTTCGCGTGGCCTTGCCGCCTGAGTGTTGTGTTTTTGTCGCACGCTTCGCGTGCCCTCGCTTGCGAGCGAGCCGCCGCGCCTCTGCTGTGGCGTGGGCTGTGGGGTCCTGCCGTGGTGTTGCCTGGCGCGTCGATCGGGCCGAGGGGCTGGGTCTTGGCGGCCCTGGAGGCTGCTGTTTGCACAGCTTGGCTGTGCGCACTTGCGCGAGTTATATATATATATAATAATAATAATAATAATAATAAATAATGCACACGCACACACGCACGCGCTCACACGCTCACACGCACACACGCACGCACGCCCGCGCCCGCGCACCCGCGCACGCGCGCGCACACGCGCGCACACGCGCGCACTCGCGCGCACACGCACGCACACACGCCTACACACACGCGCACACACGCGCACACGCGCGCACACGCGCGCACACGCGCACACACGCGCACACACGCGCACACACGCGCACGCACGCGCGCACGCGCGCACACACGCGCACACACGCGCACACGCGCGCGCACACGCGCGCAAACGCGCGCACACGCGCACACACGCGCGCACATGCGCAGATACGCGCACACACGCGCACCCACGCGCACCCACGCGCACCCACGCGCACCCACGCGCGCCCACGCGCACCCACGCGCACCCACGCGCACACACGCGCACACACGCGCACACACGCGCACACACGCGCACACACGCGCACACACGCGCACACACGCGCACACACGCGCACACGCGCACACATGCGCACACACGCGCACACACACGCAGACACGCGCAGGCACGCGCGCACACGCGCACGCACGCGCAGACACGCGCACACACGCGCAGACACTCGCAGACACGCGCACACACGCGCAGACACACGCACACACGCGCACACACGTGCACACACGCGCAGACACGCGCAGACACGCGCAGACACTCGCAGACACACGCCTACACACGCGCGCACACGCGCACACGCACACGCGCACACGCACACGCGCACGCGCACACGCGCACATGCATACGCGCACACGCACACGCGCACACGCAAACGCGCCCACGCACACGCGCACACACAAAGGCGCACACGCACACGCGCACACGCACACGCGCATACGCACACGCGCACACCACACGCACACGCACACACGCACACACGCACACGCACACGTGCACACGCGCACACGCACACGTGAACACGCACACTCGCACACGCGCACACGCACACGCGCACGCGAGCACACGCACCCACGCACACACGCACGCACGCACACGTGCACACGCGCACACGCGCGCACGCAAACACGCACACGCACACACGCACACACGCACACGCATACGCACTCACGCACACGCGCACACGCACACGCACACGCACACGCACACGCGCACGCACACGCACACGCACACGCACACGCACACGAACATTCACACGCACACCCGCACACGCACACGCACACGCACACGCACACCCACACGCACACGCACAAGCACATGCACACGCACACGCACACGCACGCACGCGCACACGCACACGCACACGCACACGCACACGCACTCGCACGCGCACGCGCACGCGCACGCGCACGCACACCCACACCCACACCCACACCCATACCAACACCCACATCCTTGTCCTTTATTATTGTATACCCCCACCTACCTCGTATTCCGGCC